GAGCACAGGCAGAGCGACACCAGCCAATCCAGCCAGAGCTAACAGCTGGGAGATTGCCAGAATACTTCATGGCTGAATCAGTCACACAACCTTTATAATGCCATGACTTACTGATAAATTTACTAATGAATTTACCAGGTGTAAAAATAGCAAAGTACTTTGTCCTTTATTTGACACTGTGGATTTATGACACAGGTATGTAGATCTATTTTTATGGTGAGGTGTCTCCAAGACTGGTGTAGGAAAAGGCCCCTGCCATTCCCAGCATCTGGCTGGTGGGGAGCTGGATAGATCAAGAAGATCCAGGGTTCAGAGTCACTCTTTGTCAACTTAGACACAGACCTCCAGCTCAGCATATTGACTCAGTGCCTGTCTTTTCTGTGTTGAGACACTGAAATACCCTGCTGAAGCATTTGTTCTAGAAGCTGCTTGTAGTCTGATAGATGTCTAGTTACCTGTAGACTCACAGAAGAGTACAATGAGGCCTTGGACTTCACTATAAGATAGAAGTGTGGGGAACAACTTCTTTGATCATGGTTTGAGGCAAGTAACACAACAGGGGCATCTTTTTGAATGAGTTTAGAGGAGTAGTGAGTACAAAACATAAATGCATGATGTCAGGTAATTTGCAGTGAAGTGTGGAATACCAAAAAAGGACTTGCAAGTGTCAAGAGTTGTCCTAGGATAGGACTGCCTCAACTTCTATTTTACTATCAGAAAAACTCATTCTGAATCCTTATAAGCCAGTGCCTGTAGTGAAAGTAGGCTAAAAAGACAGGTGATCCAAGATAGTAATTTAAAAGAAGACCATTTCTGGACTCAAGGCCAAAGTTAATCAAGTTAACTCACAAGGACATTCACATTTGAAAGATTCGGGACCTAGCAATTTGCCAGAAGTTCATCTTAAAAACATAGTTTTGTTGCTTTTGGAAAAGAACTTTAAGGGCTCAATACTTGAACAACAAATTAAAGGGTATCTGTTTATTAAATCCATTATGTTTTTAACTCTAAATCTAGTCTCCTGCTATTTTTACTGGAAAGCTTAACATAGTGGAGGTATAATAAATGTCCTTGGGCATTGTCTGTGAGTATGATTCCATCTGACAAAAAACATGCTGCAAGACCAGTACTTTCTACTGGCCTCAGTTTCTATTTTTAGGAGGCGAGGAATCATAGAATCACAGAATGGTTTGGGTTGGAAAGGACCTTAGAGCTCATCCAGTTCCAACCCTCTGCCATGGGGAAGGACACCTACCACTAGACCAGGTTGCTCCAAGCCCCATCCAACCTGGCCTTGAACACTGCCAGGGATGGGGCAGCCACAGCTTCTCTGGGCACCCTGTGCCAGCACCTCACCACCCTCACAGGGAAGAATTTTTTCCTAATATCTAAATCTCCCTCTTTAAATTTAAAACCATTTCCAAAGATAGCACATTTTCAAATTAAAAAAAAAATTTTTTTCTTTCTAATGAATCAAACAGAAGAATTTCAGCTGTATCCTGTTTGGAGGGGATGACAATTACCTGCTGTGATAATACCTTTGCTGTGTGTATCTGTGGGAGTGAAAGAATACTGTCTTCTCACTTACATGATCAGTTGGGACATTAGTTTCTGAATAATCCAAGCCATAGAGGAAGAAGTACTTCTGCAGCCACTTTAATGAAGATACTGTCAAATTAGTCTCCAAGCGTCAACTTAGACTTGAGAAAAGCTCCAAATTAAGACTGCTTTTGTAAAGAGATTTGTATGGCTGGGCTTCCTTATGTAATGATGGTATGCTAATCTAATGTAATCTACTAACGCCTCCACAGTTAAACTGTAGGCCAGACTGGAGAACCTTTCATGAAATAAGAACACTTGCATTGCCTCGCTATTCAGATGAGAGTCTTAAAAATGAAAGCTTTGCTTACCTGAGGATTTTCAAAGTAGAAACTGTTTATAATGTAAGTAGAAATAACGCCATATATTGGCAAATTTAGCTATGTTCTTCTATCTAAAACTTGTATGCTATGGCAGGCTTAATGCTTCTAAGTATATACCCAGTTCTCTGCAGAGCTGTGGGGGTTCTGTGCATAGCAGCAGGAGGAGCAGTTGAATATGAAGCCTTACTAAGTCATAAGAACATGTTCATGATTCATAGATGCATAGGTCGCCTTCACTGAGAGGAAATCACTGCTGCAAGTGATAGCACCCATGGGATGTTTCTGGCAGTGAAGAGGTAGGATTCTTCCCTGTGGAGATCTTATGCTATTTTTGCTGCCTGTTGTGTCAAGTTTTCAAGGGTTTTGTAATTGCAGGGCTGGTAGTTTTAGAATCAGGCTTTAACATCGCAACTTCACTGTCTGCTTGTTTTTACATATGACTTTAGGAAGGTGTCAGGTGTTATATAAGAGCAGATTAGGGGTTTAGCACTGTTTGCGACAATGATCGGTGCTGGATGCTTTGGAGACACTAAAAACTACCAAGGATGAGCTTATTATCCTAAAGCATGAAGTCTCAGAGCACTGAGAACACTTAATCCAAACTACTAGCATTGCAGATGCTTTTCTTATGCTGCTAGGATGTGCTCTAAGTCTTTTATAAAAATACTAAGATCTTTGCCTTCATCATATTCCAAGCAGAAAACTAAACAAGTAAATTAAAGCATACTTTCTAAATTTCTTCTTTTGTCTGATCAGTTCGACCAAACAAAATGTCCCAAAGTTTTTGCATTCAGGAGCTCACAGATACATGATACAAATGACTGATGAAACTCTACTGCTGTAAATGTACTCATTGCTAAATTACAGCTTATAGGTTTTTGGGGTTGTTTGTTTTTTATGTTTGTTTGCTTGTGGTGTTTGTTTGTTTGTGTGGTGGGTTTTGTTTTGGTTTAGTTGTGGGTTTTGTTTTTCCCCCAAAATTAATTTCATATTTCACAAGTCTTTCTTGGGCATAACTAACCCCCCATTTTTAATATTTTTTTCTCTCTGAAATGTGGTGAACAAAAACTAAATGCAAGATTATGAAATAACATAATATTCTTTCTTCTCTGCAGCTTAACACCAGTCTCTTCTAAATAGTGCTAGAGGCAGAGCAAAAGGCAGGAGTCTGCACTTACTTTGAAATCATTCCTCCAGTAGGTAACAACTAATTAAAAACCCGTTTGTGGCTGAGTTGTCTTCAACAGTCTTTGAAACATGTTTTTTCATACTTCACTTTTAAATTTCATCTGTTACTATTCTGCTTAGTTACTTTTGTACTAAATCCTTTACATAGTCTCCTGCACTCTTTTTGTGTACTAATAAACTCATTAATTATCTCTGTTTTAAGAACCAAAAGTCTGATTGATTCTGAGGTGTGTTAAGGGTGGGATAGAAAGTGAATATCCTCCCACTTTCTATGGAAAGTAAGCTCTCTGACTCCTTTCACATCGTTTTCTTTAGAACCCCATTATTTCCTTATATCCTTATATATTCAGAGTACAAACGGTGTCCTTTGTACTCTGAATACTTGCACAGAAAATAGTGCACTTCTGGGGCACTGTGTCCTGACTGGCCTCCTGAGGATCTAACACATGAATAAAGTAATCAGGCATTTGTGTTTCTGCCATGATTCTTTCCTCATATCTCTTTCTGTAAAGGGAAGTCCAGTGGATAAGACTAGCTGGAAGCACGGTTCTGTTCAAGGCGTATATTCCGTGTCTGATCCTGGCAGTCTCCTCTATTCTGGTGATTTGCTTGAAGGGAGAGAGGAATATGCCTGATCTCTTAATGGGATGGTTTAGGAGGCTGCAATGAAAAAACTCTCATTGAAAAACACAGTGGTATTTTGCTCCCTCTTCAGGTCCTCTGTGGGTTAATTGAATAATCCCCTGTTTAATTAAGCAGTTAAAAACCCCAACACAATGAATGCCGATGTGCTATTTCTGCTTCCCTAATCCCTGCTTGGCTGCAGGTCCTTAAGACATTCATTGAACCAATATTAGCAATGTTCCTGAATTCTGGGTAGCTGCAATGTTTATTTGTCAGCACATAGAAAATAGCAGTTTAAACTGATTCTTTGCATTCTTTTTGCAAAGCCAGTTGCTAATCTGTGAGATACCTTTTCATTAAATCTTCCTTTGCTACTTTTTTATTTTCAAAAGTCTTTACAAAAATTATATAAGATGTTTAAATATATTGTATTTGGGTACTTTTCTGTTTGGTTGGTTGTTGTTCACACTTTCGGGCATCCTAAACAGCTCAGTAAGCACAACACAGCAGCACTCTTCTGTCCCTATCTCTTGCTCTTCATTTTTTTTATAACCACCAAGTTAATGCCTGCTCTTAATCCTTAGCTACTGTATTGACTGCTTGCAGCCATCTAGGGCTAACTCCTGATAACAGATTACATGTTTTCTGCAGTTTACCTGATTCATTCTAAAGCTCCTTCAAAGCCCTGCAAGGATTGCTAAATCCCATTCTTTCTCTACCAGTCTTCATTGTAGTTTAAATAGTCTCTATGGCCTTTACAGTTCTTTTAAACATTCCTGTCTTAGATGGTGAGGAAAAAAAGAAAGAGGAGTCTGAAACAGAAGCTACAATAGGTTTGACATAGGAATGTAGGCTTGGACAGGCCACGGTCAACCTTAATGCGTGAAAGCTTTGGGAATGTGCTATGTCCCTGTGTGTACATGGTAGTGCTGACAATATTGGCCTTTGATTCCCTGCAGAGTAGTAGAGGATCCTTTTGACCTGGAAGCTTGGTGCTTGTGAGGGCCTGCAAAGGGCCTTGTCAGGTCAGTAACTATGATCCCCCACTGCTGTTGGCAACCGTGTTATAGCTCCATTCATAAACTGCATTCTGAAGCAGCCTTTTTCCTGATTCTTCATCTATAGAAGAGCTATTCCCCAACCTCCCTGCTGTGACCATTAAAAATCATCTTATGATTCCCAGCCTAAGTTTATTCCCAGTCAGACTGTAATGCTCATACAGTGGCCTGCCCTTGGCTCACATCCCATTTCTGGTCTGTGCTTTCTGTCACTTTACACTCCTTATCTAGGCTGGCCACTGGTTTTGTTTTACTCAGCATCGTGCCTGAGTAGCCGGCTATGACAGTAGAAACCCTGAATGAAGACAGAGGCATCTGAACACTGTTCTTGCAGAATTGACTCATTGGGACATTGACCTTGAAGTAAATACACAGTGCACCCTTCAAGAGGTCCTACCTCTGGGAGACTAGGCAGAAATATTTCTTTCTATATGGAGGAAGTCACAAGATTTACCTCGTCATGTGAGTCTTTTATTTTAGCAGGGAAAACTTATTTTAGCAGACTGTTGCCTGAAACTAGTGAAATAGCTCTGTTAGGAGTCTCCCAGGTAAAGGGAAGCTGCCCAGACATGTATTACTGTCCTGGCACATAGGGAGCTTAGAGTCAGTCTTTATGCTTTGGAAAAGAAAATATTCTGCTCCACCCCAATTCATGAGCTCTAAATGGATTTAAGTATCTCATGTTCTCTTTTCCTTTCTTCTATAAGCACCTGTCTTCCCATTTGTGGTCTCATAAGCAGTGTGATCATATAAACTGTGACTTGCATTAGTGTGTTTTTAACTTCTTTTAGGAACTGTTGTGAGTGAGATTGAGGATGCTCACTGATGTGTGGCTTTTTAGCTTTCTCAACCACAGTTTGATTCACTGCTTGAACGCTGTTACCCTGTATTAATCATTTGTACTGTTGAGGCTTCAGATACTGGTGCAGAGTTAAAACCACATTACGCAGGAACTGTTCAAGCAAAAAGTACATTTGAGTCCTACAGCCAAATAATGGGTTTCAGCAGTTACTGTGCTGAACAATCCAAGTGTTCGGTATTTATGGTATGTATGTTTTAAATGGGATAATATTGTTCAGATAAAGTAGCACGTGTCACATTAGGCCACTGCCAATCTCACTTTGGAAGCCAGAGGGTAATAGAACTCCTGGTTTGGATTTTCATTTCCAGGGACAAGCTGTTAAAAATGTTCTTTATCGCATTCAAGTGTTCATCATCATAAAGTGAAACATTTTTCATCACACTGGAGAAAAAGCTAGACAGCTTTTCCTTTTCAGATACAGGGATTCAATTATCGGAAACTTGTAAATGCCATTTCAAAAGAGATGTCCTCACTTGGGTCTTGTTTGTTTGCTTGTTTTGGGTGTTTTTTGTTTGGGTGTTTTGTTTGTTTCTGTGTTGTTTTTTTTTTATTCCAATAGAAGTAAAAAAAAACCCCAGGACAATTTGGGGACTTTCTATCCAGGGCCATTTTTGGACTAAGAAAATGACAGCATCTATCATAGTTGCCTTGCTAATTATATGTCTGTGGAGTTTGAACCTGAAAGTGCTGTAAAGCCGGCAGAGCAGGAATCCATTCCTTCTGTTTACCCACAGAATTGCTTGGTCAGTTACAATCAATTAGACCTGTGCATGTACTCTGCATGACAATGTGTAGGTGTCACGGAATGGCTTAAGCCAGCACGGGTAATGTTGCATTAGCAAAATGCAGCTCAACTTGATTTGCTATGCTTATATACCATGTTATGCTTCATTTGCATGAGTAGCATTTAATACAAATAGTGTCTTTTCCTTTTTATACAGGCCACATAGAATGTAAAAATTGTTGAAAACATTAAATGTGGAATTTTCCAATATAGATTTGTACATTCTTTATAGTAAATCGTTGCATTAAAATAGAATCTGATAATGTTACTGATGGACTCTTAAGGAAGAAAGGCAAATCATGTAAATGGAGGAGGATGAATCATAGACACTCTGCCAAACTTAACCTGGTAAGTCAATAGTCTGCAATGGTAATAGGCCACTTATCAAATGCACAATGTGAAATAAAGACAGTCAATTTATGAGGTCAGTGGGGTTGTCCTGATCAACACCAGCTGAACATCTAGCCAGTATGTTTCAGTCTCTGCTGTGCTGCACCATTCACATGAGAGCTGCCAACTTCTTTTATGGAAGCTATTACTCATACTTCTCAAGGCAAAAGGTTGTTTGAATTGCTGTCATATGTTGGTGGCAACTTTAAATAAGATAAAAAATAAGCAGCTAATAACAATAACTTCCTCCCTGGCAAACCCTGAACAAGTCATTAATTCATTGCAGAAGTTCTGTCAACCATCTGTCAGGACTGATTTAGTGTACTGAATTTGTGCCTCTGTTTAAGAGTGAGCTTTGCCCTGTGCTTGAGTATTATCGAAGGGAAGGCTTAATTCTGCTAGAAGAATTTGATAATACTCTTGCCAGCATTACATGTGGTGGAAACACAAGATTCTTAGTAAATGCAGCACTTACTAGTTCCACATCTTCCCCTAGTTCTCCAGTTAATTTGCCAACTGCTTTCACGTGATAGTTATCTAGGATAAGGGGATTCATAGGAGCTCTTCCTTAATGGAGATATATTTTATTGTCCCACATTTTTATAGGTTAGGGAAATAAGAATTAATGCACAGTCCCCTGAAAAATCTCAGATAATTTACAATTCTTGTGGCCTTAATGAATTTCACTGAGAAATCTAGGGGCTAACACTTTGTTGTCTTGCATTGCCATTCCAAGTAAACTAATATAACAAAAAATGCTTGCCTGTGAAGTCCTGACTGTATGCTGTGATCCCCAGAGCCCTTTCAGTGTTTTGTACCATATTGTTCTTGGAGGGAGGTTATGTTCTGGCTCTAAAAGTGGAGTTGGGGGCCATTATCTTTGGTGGATTTGGATGGTGTATTGACCTTTTCCTTCAGCAAACCTAGGAAGCAGAAGGATAAGAAGAAATAGGTAAAGTATAAACCAAATATGTGTGCTGGATGGAAAAGACTATTTTAAAGGACTGAAATAACGTGTCATGTTGCCCTCCCCTCCCCAATTACCTGTTTAGTAAATGCTAATGTAAGTAAAAATGTGGTGGAAAAATGTCTTCAGTAAGGTATACTCCTGAGGTGGAAGGTTGAACAGATACACAATTCAGCTGAATTCAATTTAAATAACTTGAAATCCAGTTCTTCAGTGTAGTCTTTCATTGTAGCTCTCTGTGTAAAAATATACCCAGAGAAGTTTAAGAAGAAACCTGAAAAAAACAAAAAACCCTATTTTGCTCTTTTCAAGATGAACTATATATTGTAAATATTTGTATCCTGGCCAGTGCACAGCCTTCTTAGAGTCAGAGGAAGTACTGACAACCTTAATGGGTTCATGGATTACCTATGGAGAAATAGTTAACATACTCTAATGGGACATCATTGATCAGCATGACAGATGGATCTGCATTTTAAGCTGTAGTTGTATGCTCACTGAAAAGATGTCTGTGCTGATGGAAGAGGTTCTTTCTGTGCACTGCTGTTAATGTCTCTTCTACCTTGGGACACTGACCTCATGGATCTGCAGACAGAATTCATCTTCACAAAATCGGCAGGGTTAGATTAAATCATCCATTTAATCAGCATAAATTAACCCAGCTGTCTTTTCAGAAGCACCCAATGGACTTATCTGCATCACCAGATCCGCAAGGCGAGTTGTCTCAGGCAGAGAGTTGGTGACAAGCAGCTCTGGGCTGGCTCTTATACCAGATAAAGCTGCCTCTGCAGAAGGCCATCTGTCCATGGCCAATTCCAGGACCTCTGGATTGATTCACATACCGGCAGGGAAGTTTCTTCTTGTATTTTCTGTGTGTGATTTTTACAAAGAGCAACAACAAACAGTAAAGCTTGATGAACTGTGAAGCTGGCTCTGAACTCATATTGTCACCATCAGAGGAATAACTGAGTGCTACTAGATGCACTAGAAAAATGAAACTGCACTGCATACTTGGAAGAGCTTTATTTCTGACCCTGGGTCTATCACTGCTTTTTTTCCCGGGCTTTCTGCCTCAGTTTCCCTATTTACTTCGCAATAGTGCTGTTAGTATTAACTACATAACAGCTACACTTGAGTTTTGTAAAGCTCAGATGTAGAATTGTTGCAAAGCTTTTAAATATGACCTCCCACTGGTAAAAGTCACCTGAGTGTGGCATGGGTTATCTGTACCTGACCAGAGATTTCCTTTTGGTCACTGAAAGCTGGGGTGTCCTGGTGTCAGAAGAAGCCAGACTGTATGAAGGGAACAGCAAATGAAGTTGATGTGTTTTCTAAGTGCCAGTGGTGGCACTTCAGCCTCAGCCTAGCACTTCTGAACCTGCTAAGCTTTGCTGGAAATAGGTCTTGGCCTCTGAAGATCCCCCCGTTGTGCAAAAATAGGCTTTGTAAGTCCAGCTTCACACATGATTTGTGTTTCTTAAACTGGTCAATGATAAATGAAAATTGACTGAAAAATGACTACTCCTAGCATGACAAATTCTGTGGAAAGATTTTAGGTTTGAATGGACAAATGCTCCATGAAACATGGCTTGTGTACCTGATTACATACATAACTGTACAGCACTGTGCCGATGACTAGGAATGGCAGCTAATGAATGCAAATTGGCCTCTTACTTAATACTATCAGCTTTTACTCTGGTGAAAAGCTTCTTATCCATGCCAGTGTATGCTTTTTCTGTTTCACACAGTTATTGCCAAACCCTTCCTGGCAAACCCTGCTATGGTACACAGAGATGCCTGCTGGCTTTCTCCTGTGTAAATTCCCCATAACCCTGAGTTGTCAGCAGCTGCCAAGGACTCCTCATCAGTTCATGCAGGTGATCTTTGAAGTCTTCCAAAATTAAGCACCTGTCAAAATCCCAACGTAGTAAAATGACTCCAGGGAAAAGCAGAATAAGAACAAAAATTTCATTCCCTTCTCCTCCAGTATATTATGTAAAACACTTTCAGGGTAAAATGCTGCTGGGGTTAAACCCAAATGTGTCATGATGGCTTACATGGTGTTCTGTAAATAACAAATGTCTAGGGCTTCATCTCAGTCTTTGTAAGGGATGAGCTGTTTTTTCTCCCTGGACCTTGTTCTACCATGTGTGTAATAATAAAGTATATTAAAATATTCAGCTGCAGTTTCAGGACTACCTCTTGTCCTCAGCACAGGTACGGCAGCCATGACTTAGGCCCCAAAATTGCTCGTGTTTGATCCTGCTGATGCAATTTTTTCCTTTCAGTTTCACTGTTTTGGACTGCAGAGAATGATTTTCTCTGGCAGAAGAGATCAGATACACTAAATAATCCGTCTTGCTTTTGTGGGGATTAGCAGCAATGTTAATAGCTCTGTTGGCTTCTGGGGCTACAAGGTGGTCACATGAGTTGGGTTTATTCATCATTTTCAGTGCTGAAGATATCCTCATGGAGACTGCAACTATCAACACATAGAGCTCTAATTTAAGCCATAATGCATAGCTTGACCACTATTACATTCAGATTTTGGCTCTGTTAAGCTGCAGTAGAGGAGAGTCAGGAGTTCAGTAGTGTTTCTAATTAGGTTTCAAGAATACATGGTAAGCCACAAGACTGCTGTCTTGCCTCTGGTCTTCCTCAGAAAACCACGTCGTTGGCCTTGGTAGGGATATTGGGATGCAAAAGCTGATGACTGCTTGCATCGATCGAAGTGTCACAATCCTCAGGTGATCTGGAGTTTGGGAATATGGTGTATCTAGAGCTGTGTGTCTGATAGCGATGAGAAGTAGGAAATTGGGTTGGTTTGAGTTGTCAGGAAGAAGAACAGAAAGAGAATTTCCTTATTTTGCATTTCAGATTTTAACTTTAAATATAACACTGTAAGAACTGGGAGAGATGTGAGAATCAGAAAGGTGACATCTTAGTTCTTTAATCCTCTTGCTTAGCTGCAAAGAATTCACAATAATTCCTTTGCGGCTTTTGTACAGAATCAGTCATACCAATTCACATTTACTTCCACGTGGCTTGAGGGAAGGAAAATATGGACTTCTGATTCATATCCGATTAATAGTAACTGAGTTTGTGCTTGTGAAATCAAAATTTGCCTCTAAGAAGACATATTTTTTTTTTTTCCAGGGAGGAAGGAGGATGAAGCTAAAATGGGGAATTTTTTGTGGTACTAAGAACCAGGATTTCATGGAGTGCCCATGTTCCTGTAGCTGTTCTTTTCAGCTTTCAGTTTTTTGTGATGGAATGATTAAAAAACCTATTAAAATCAGGGAATCCTGAAATCTTCTGAAGAAAATGAAAGCAGCAGTTTACTCCAGTAAGAAAGCTTAGCACCCTGTTTGGATTCTTCTACGCTTTACCAGAGCTGCATGCAGCAGCTTACTGAAAACAAACACCTTTCCCCAGGGGCTGTATAAAACAAAGTCACAACCTTATACAGGAGCCAAATACATTGCATTCCTGAGGCTATGGATCATGGCATAACAAGATTACCAAACTGGACTTTTCAGAGGCTTCTCTCTCATAAATCTGCTTTATGCATGCTCTTGATCCGTTAGCTGTGCTTGGTAGATGCTCCCAAGGACTTTAACTCCCATTAGGTAAAGAGGCCATGAACAGAACAGCCAAGAAAACCCAATTAGCCCATAGGCAAGTCAGCAAGATCAGAATTTGTTAGGAGAGCAGGTGTGCTAGGCAAGCACTGCTAACCTGCTAAACCTATCATTACGTGCTTCTTGAGAGAGGTATTTTTTCCTAGTTGCATTGATGCTGCTTATTGCCAAGGAGCCTACACTGTGCAATTATGGCCGTAAGAACAACTTGCCTTTTTATTTCGTTAAGGGGCAGTAAGATATAAGTGAAATGTACTTCCTTAGTTAAACTGCCTGGTGGTTTACGAAGTCTGAATTAGGGAGGAATAATAATAGATAAATTACCTAAAGTGACCTGTGTTCATTTGTACCTCCCACATTTTATCTGAATCAGTGTAATCAGTATACGTTAGGGACAAATCAGTATGTAAGCAGCGCAGCCAGTATTCTTACTGATACCACTCATTACATCAGGAATGTTTTGTGTTGCCAGGTGCCAAAGTCTGAAAAGACACTGGGAACAAGTGATGTGCAGAATGTCTTTTTAAAAGGAGTAAGGAAAAAAAAAATCTAGCCTCTTTCACTTTTGTGTAATAAGCTCTATATTAATAGCACAATGGTATGTGCTATTAGAAAAAATATATCCTTTTTTCAGTAATGCAAAACAAAAAGAATCCTGTTTATACTCGCAGAGAAAATACGTATCCATGCCATGCCGCTAAAGTATTTGTATTTTGCCACGGGGACTTATTTTATGCTTCAAATAAATTCGAAGAGAGGCAATCAGATGAAAGCACTAACTTTAAAGGGCAAGAATTTCATCACCGAGTCTAGCTCAGAGTCTCTTGGCAATTGTGCCAAGTCAGAAAAATATCTAAGATTAAAACAATAATTAATTGGCTTAATGGTTCTTTGTGGCGTAGTCAAAAAAAGAAGACCCTGAACTACAGTATTACTGCACTAATCTCAGTGGTTCACCTGGAGCTCCAAAATCTCATGTGTTTCATGAGAAAGGCTTACTTACAAGACCTTGCTTGAAAGGTTCATCACCATGTATGGGCAGGAGAGTAGGCTTTTCTATTTGCCCTGTGATCACACAAAGTTTCTTGATTCTTCAAGCCATATACCAAAATCTTCATATTGATAAAGAAAAAGAAATCTTCTGTTTCTCAGTGATGAGAGGGATGTCCCAGATGCATTCCCAAGCAGGAGATGGTGATAACTTCTCAGGGCCCCTGCCCTTGCTCAGTTTGAATACAGAACCATATGGGATATTAATAGGCCCCATGGGACTCCATCATTTCAGCCTTAGGAGTTCCTGTGGGTTCTGCTCCCACATCTGGGGATTACTCAGTAGCCTGGTTAATGATTCATAGCTGTGGCACAGGAGCTGCGTCTAAGCTCTCTTCCAGGTAACCTGTGACTCAAGAGCCGCAGCTTGGCCACTCCATCACTGAATTATTTTCCACAAAAGTAGGTGTTGCACAGTTGCAAAGAGGAAGTCTTCTCCCTTGCTTATTTCTTACCATACTGATGTGGGTGTTCTGAAAATAAACTTCAGAGTTTAAGTGCCAGATCAATTTTGTTCATACGTGCTGATACAACATACAGAAGTCATGCATTTCATTGTGAAATCTGTGGTGTGATGCTATGGGACTCAGTGCAATCAACATAAGGTGTGATATCTCACAAATTACCCTGCCAGCATAACTCACACCTCAGCTGAGCTGAACAAAAGATCTACTTTTAATGTGTGATGCTACGAAGATAGCACGGCTTAAACAAAGTGTTGGATTCTGACAACCATTTGTACATTGTTACATCTATAACAACCTGGTACTTCTGATTCAAGCTTTGTATCTGTCTTGAAAATGGAAAGCTTTTGCAGACAGAGCCATACTTACAGAACAGCAATCCTTAAAAGTTTATTCCAGAGATACTTCTAATTGTTCTTCCATTTCTACAGTTAGAATTGGTGCCGTATGTCTACTGGTGCTGTAGACATCTTACTGTTTCTTTTCAATTCGCATTGTGTTAGAATATTACAATTAACAATGCAAATATTACAGTTACTACAGTAACACAATGCGAATTGAAAAGAAACGTAAGTATTTTCAGTTTCCATTTCTGTTCGCACCGTGTTACACTGTGAATTGACACATTCTTCACTGCATTCATTGAACATGTTCCTGATACAAATAGGTATAAATAAGGACAGTCACATCTGCTTTGTGCTCTGGCATGGCAGAAACACTTAAGTGCCTTTATAGAGCACTTTTCATTATAATATCCAAATTTAAGGCAGCAATAAAGTAAGGATGAACATGCATTTTCATGACTCTTCCATGATTTACAGGAGCTTTGTGAACTCATGTTGTAAGAGCCAGCAAAGCTTTGCATTTTCAAAAGGGTTTTATCTTCATACAAATCCAGGGAGTGGTCCAGATGGACACCATCCCATTTCCTCAGTCAGGAGTGCACTGTGGTCACTATTCAAAACCTATTTTAGATAAAATAGATATAAACCAGTTTCATGTGAGAGAGTATCCTACGGAGACACTGGCTTTGCCTGCAGTAGTTCTGCATCTCTCCTCTGGTTGTAGTGCAGAGCACCAGGTGCAGAGACACACTTGCCCAGTAATGGTAATAAAAGACACACTGTGATCTTCGTGAGGGGCTCCCACTTACCACTATTTTTCCTCTCTCTGACACATGGTAAGAGCCTCTGAACTTTTTCTTCTCTCAAGTGTGGTGTTGGCCTGAAATGGATGCAGTGTGGGGAGCCTCATGATCTTCATCTTCTTTTCTAGATCAGGTCAGAGAACTTTTCTGTGGCTCTTTCCTATTAATTTCCCACATACTCCGTAAATTATGAAGATGATAAGATGTATCTGCAAATTTTAACAGGAATGAAATTATGGCTGGAGAATAAAACATTTCACATGTGTAAATTGGCTTTCTCTGCAGCCTTCTTGTGAAGGGAGGGAATCACTTACCTTGCTTAACCTTAAAACCTGCTTTGTCAGGGAGCTGTAGGTCAGAGAACCACCAGAGGTTGAGGAGCTGGAGGACAGCCAGAGGAATGTAAGTGCTGTGCGACATGATAAGCAGTGAAAACAGATTAAATCTCGCATGGAAAAAAGCCAGTTTTCATTCATTCTGTGCTGTCATTACACTCACGGAAAACCTCATTGGTGTGACTTCTCCATGGAAGAATAGCTGCAAATGCTCTAGTCTGGTGTAATGTGTGTATATAACTAGAGTTCTAGGGCTGAAGGATGTTTTTCAAGGCCTTTCATGATTTTTGCAGTCATTTGATGTGAGTTTGAGGACTCATTACACCTTTAGAAGACAGGAGGCAACTACTTTCCTCCAGTACATTTGACTGGGAGGTCATGTGCATGTGGCCCACTGCTAAAGCACTTACAAAAGCACATCTGCACAAACCCAGTTATTCATTCTAGTGCAAAACTGCACAAGGATACATAGTGTGCTTACTTAAGGCAGAGGCATAGTTGTTCCATGAAAGTGTACAGAGTTATTGCAAATACCTGGTAATTAATTTCCCACAAAAGACAGTAATGGCTGGAAGGAGCCCTCACAGGCTGTAAGGTAAATAAACTGAGTGTTAATAGCTCCCAGGTAGGACTGCAGAGCACCACTCGGAGGGTATTTTTCAGGAAAGTTTTCATGTGGCTGTCACCACTTAATAGTCCCTGGCAGCAGGAAGGCTATTTGCTCTGAAAGTCCTTGGACTATGAACGTAGAAGGGTGGTTTTTTGCATGTGTGTGTTTCACTTTTTGATTTAAAGGGTATATTCTTTCCTTAAATTTAAAAGTCTTTCAAAGATCAAGAATATACAACCTTATAGAAAAGGAAAACACTCCAACTAGGACAAAGCATAGACCATAAGATATTTTTAGGTACCTGGCATGTTTTAAGTTAAGTTGTGAGTGCAAAATAATGTGTGCGCTGTTGATCAAACAACCAGAGTCCAAGATCATGTACTTTTCAGTGTGTTCAGGGACACAGTTTGATCTACTCCTGTGTAAAAGTTCCCTCCTCCTTATACAGCTAGCAGCAAACGGGCATAGAGTCACAGCAGTCCCTGCTGGCTTCCTCAGAAGGAAGCAGATATCCAGAAAGGTGCTGTGATCTTTACCTCGGCCTGTGTGCATGGATGATCTGTTCTGGTGAGCAACTGGCATAAGAAATGCTCTTGCTAAGAAATGAATGAGTCCCAAAGCATCCTTAACCAAGGTGCATCTGAGGTTGGCCAGCCTACGAACAACTGAAAACATTCTAGCCGTGCACAGAGAGTTTTAATTTTACTCTCCAATTTGCCCGTATTTCTGCTCTTTCAGGGGTGCTAATATAAAAGTCACATAAGAGAATACTCCACTAGCAAGTCCCAGTGGATCAAATTGTTCCATCATTCCATTGCAGTCAATGGAGTTTTCTTGAGGATCAACTCAGTAACAAAACTGAACCACCCAGCTTGACTGTGCAACAGGAGAGTGCTCACTTTGCATGGATGTTGGTTTTAAAACAACTTTAAAAGTGCTCCATTATGTTACAAAACTGCGTGTGACAGTTCTTGTCACTTAGTGCTTAGGAAACTTGTAGGAAGAAACTTGCAGGGAAACTTGCTACTTCCTTATAGCATGTAATCAAATTCTGCGGAAGCAGCATAGCCAGTGCCTCTAGTGCTGTGGCACTAGAGGCACTAGAGGTCAAAGGCCTCAGCTGTCCTAGCACAAAGGAGTTTTGGCTTGTACACGCTGATAGGTAACTCATTTCTGCTGGTGTTGCATGCTCTAATGAGGTAATAGAGAGAGAAGCCTGCAAAAAACAGTGGATTACAAAGAGCAGGGTCGCAGGTTTCCTTGTGCACCTTCTGCAGCCTGTTTATCATTAGCTCTCCTGCTTTTCTAGAGTGCCTGCTTTTATACAGAATGGGGAACAGGTACCTCTCATGCGGAAGGGCTGAAAGGAGAGCAGTGGAGTCAATGTGCCTCACCGTTATCTCAAAGATAACTGGGAATTCGTTGTAAAATTATTTTCGAGTTTCTAATATGCTCTACTGCTAATATGGGAGGTATAGCTTGTTCATTTCCTGCTTTTGAAGAATTTACCCTTACACGTTAAATTACCTCAATCTAAAATCTCGGTAGTTTCATCGAATTTAAGCATTTTGCTGGTGCCATCAAGTGGCAAAATGTTGAATTGCAGAATTGCAGCAGCATCCAAATTCACAACCTGGTATCTTAAAACAGCAGCAGTGAGGAAAATAATACTTGCCAAGCCTCCTCCGAAAATACATCCCTCTGTATAGATACACACACCAGAAAACATGGTCTAAAATGCACATGGTGTTGTGGTTACTTCAGTTGCTTCAGTTTGATCTGAATTCTAACTAGTGGAAAGGCTAATATTTTTGAGTATTTCCTAGTTGATAAGTATGGACAACCTGCAGAGCAAACTCAGAGACCCTTACTGAAGAGACACTAAACTGGAGGGTCACAATGCCATACTCTGAATTTCCTTCACAACTGTGTTTGCTCTGCTTTGTTACTAATCTGTTTTTGGAGACCATGGCCCTTCAGATTTCATGTGGTGTCTGCACTTCATATCACATGTGTGTACTATCACCAGAGTGGAATGAATGTTCAGTTTGCTGTTTTATGCACTAAATTCACAATCTGGTTAACGCACAATTTAAACTTACAGTTCACCGTTCATACGCACGTCGCTTTTATTCTGCTGAGTGACATCACAGTATTGCTCGGTGGGAAGGCCTCTGTGCAAAAAGAAAGCGTAAATTTATAAGGCTTATGCACTATTTGCTTATAAATAAATTGATATGTTTTTGTCTTGATTTCTCAGATACCCTTAATATCAAAACTCATAGGTGTGTGGAAGTGTGTCCTGGGTTTCAAAATCAAAGTTGTGCAGGACTGGATCTTGAGAGGTGCTGAACACCCATGCCTGAATCCAAGGCTCCTGAGAACACTGATCATTTCCCCCTGTGAAAGCCTGACCCTTACAGCCCCACCCCATGCGCACGTAACACTCAGTAGGAGCTGTGGGAATGCCTCGAATGGATGCATGTTCCAACTTTTGGCTCTGTGAGGAATTATTCCTACATTATAAGGATCACTTTCATCTCTTTCTGATGCCAAATCCAGCCAAACTGCACGGTGCTTTTCACTGAACACAGTCTAAAGAGAAGATGGCACCAAATATGTCTTTGAGTTTAAATAATGGAAAAACAAAGCAGTTGTTAGCATGGGACATCAGGTAAAAAAAACAAAACACAACCCCAAAAACAACACAACAGAAGAGAGCAAATGGGAGTGTCAAAATGAAGGAAATGCAGTTGGAAAAATCAGCCATAACCAGTAGGATTTTCCTGGTCTGACCTGGCCTTGCTAAAGCTGAGCTTCACCCAAAGCATGTAATCAAGTGTCTGTTACTGAAAGAAATGTGTGGCCTTCACTGCATGGCTGAAGAAAAGATGCTGGTTGCAAGAATGGGAGAGAAATGAGGCTGAATCAGAAGGTTTTTTTTTGACTTTTATGTCTGGTTTGCGAGCTCCCAAAGCTTGGGGGTTTTAGAGCAATCCAATAGGAATATGCTCATAATATTCCAGGTATAACCACAAGTTCAGAATGGTTATTGTCTTCCCTTCCTCTTCAAGAACTTCCCCATATTAACACAGTCTAGCATAATGTGTGTTTCTGTGCCACGATGCTGTCAGTTGAGCAATGCAGGCATCAGTCTTCCAGCTGTTGTGCAAGGCTGTGTTCAGAAGTGCTGAGCACGTCCATGTTAAACTAAAGTCACTGAGGTTCCCTTCCTTCCTTCTCTGCCCCATCACACCATGGTAGCACTTGACTTCCATCCCAGACGTCAGGTCCCCTGCACCCTTCTGGCAGGACACCTGGTGCTGAGGGTACTCCCCTATGACAGTGCCACAGGAGGGTGCTTCTATGGTGCAGCAGCGCTCACTTTAGAGCCAAATTCAGGGATTTTAGAGGTCTGAATTCTGTTCTGGGTTGATCAATGTATATGTAAGATTGCCATGACACAAATTCTCCTTCCAGCATTAAAACGAAAACATACTAACCTGGAAATGCTCAGCCTTTGACTAGTTTGACTACCGTGCTTGCACTTTTCACTGCTTTTGTGTTTGATGCATTGGGTGGCATGGCTCACTAAGTAATACTAATGAAATCCAGAAGATTTGACATCTTTTGGAGCAGTGTCTCTGCAAAGTGCAGTGTTTCAGCAAAATACTGTGTAGAGATTTGTGGGTACTAGTATATCCCCCCATTAATATTTTGGGAATTGTGGAAAGAGTAGATTCCTAAATTGCCCATTTTTGGAATGCAGATGTTTGTACATCTCGGGCTAACCTGCTAGCTGTCGGTTGCTATTCTTGTTAAAAACACTTCACTTAAACATTCTGACTGTGAGAAGACCTTGGCCAAGGGTCTACACCACTATCACAAGGCTACCATGTTCTTTAACAGATGTCCGTGGAAACTTATCCTTTGAATTGCTCTCCAGGAAAGCTTGCAAAAGTGAAGGGATTCCATGAACTCTATATCTGAAAGAAAAAATAAACACAAACCAAAATGTCTTTCAATGGAAGCAGCAGTGATGGCTACCTGATATCTTTTAAACAATGACAACTTGGTTGGATTTTCTTGGTGCTTAGTTATCTGAGCCTTATTCTGGGTGAGAATTATTCATTCTGTTATGGTGAACTGTCACTAGGAGAAGTACAGTGGTGACTGGCAATTGTTTGATGAACTTGAATCAAGTCTATTATGTTTTGATCAGTGATAGGAAGAAAGGTGATAGAAATGTGCAGCACATACATCTTACAGTGTAATTGAGTCTCAGCTGCTAGCATGTAGATACCTGCACTGGCCCTTCAGTACTGCACTCATACTGGCATATGGGCAGTGAATATATGCAATGACACAGATGAAAGCTTTAGCATCTAATTCACACTGATTTCAGCATTTGTTATTTGTGCCTTTGAAAAGCTCCTCTCTCCATCTCTAGAGAGGCATGAGAAACATTACTGTTTAGTAGCTGTAATTCACACTGAATGCAAGCTGTGTCAGGCACTTCACATGGGTGTGCTAGTGGCTGAGGACAGTCAGTACATTTCCGCACATCTGTGTCATTTGAGATCAAGCAGTTTGATGTGTTTAGATGCGTGTTCGCCTTACATAGTTTTGATTTAGTGTTGTAAAGATTGACACCAAAATCACAGAACGTTTAAAGGAATACTTCTTGCCTGCAAGAAGTACGTCATTGAGCTCGACTAGGAAGAGATACCCATCAGTTATTTGCCAGTACAATGTGTTTGCATTGTACAGTGAACCAAATATGAATCTGGTGAGCTATAGACTACTGAAAAGCTTTTCTAAGTTTCTGAAGGAGCTCAGTCATCCATTTCTTCTATCTAAAGCCTTATTTCCCCTTTTTGAAAGTAGGCAGGCAGATGCCAAGTCACCTGCATGGCTGTAGTGGTTGTATTCATTAAGCTGACTCTGAAAACATTAATAAATCATTCCTGTTGACTGCTGTCTATAGGTTATTAAGTTGCAGTCCTTTACCTTTGGCAGAAAGAGAAGCATTGCACACAAAGATCTGATCATCCATTCAGCCCAAACAGACTCTGTTAAGCTTAAAATGCTTCCAAGTCTCCTTCTCCTAAAGAAACATTTATAGCTAATATTGATCCAGTGATACTGAAAATCTCAAGGACACAGATGAAAGTGTCTCTGCCCAGAGAATGTCAAAAAGGGCTAGAGTGAACAAAGTTTTAGAGTGCATCATGAGCAGTCGGTAAGAACCTCAGAAATATAGTCAATGTAGTCAATTATTTAGTAGAAACTATCGCCATTTCTAACTTCCACAACTGTAGATTTATTCTGTCAGTAAGACAGAAACTAAGATTTGATTTTGCTAACAAATAACATAAAATCTCAGGTGAAAGAACACTGGAGGACTTGAGGCTAATGATGGAAACTGATATGTATGAAAAAAAAAAAAATAGAAATTTAGGTTAAAAAAAAAAAACAAGAGTATTAAGCATCAGGGAGGTTCAGCTTTCCAGAACTTTAACCACTGCAGGAATTCTGCCATATCCTGCCCCCTAGCTAACAATAGAATTGTGCCTGTAAAGTACAGTAAAACTGCATTGATTCCTGAAACTTCCTGAATACACACTGAGGACTGTGAAAGCAAAATGCATCTTCCTGTAGTTTTAAATTCTAATTTTAAAGTTTATCGCAGTCATTCTAGGCCAACTTGTAATCGAGGAAAAGAAGTTCAAAAGAGGAGTTTATCAAAGAATAACATGATAAATGTTGGTGATAAGTTTGCGAAAGGTCCTCATTTATTCCAAATTAGAAATAAAATATACATGCTTTTATTCTTTATGAGTGCTATTTCAGGAGATTTTGAGCCCTAAACCTGCATATATATACATACGTATATAGATAGGTAACATATTTTAGCAGTCCTTTTTTCAGCTGCATTTCCCAGGGAACTGACAGACTACTGCACAGAGCAGAAAGCACTTTCTTTCCTTAAAACAGAAAGAAAAAATTGTATTTTGCCAGAAGAACGTAACCATTAGAAAATACTTTTAGTAACAGGGAATGGATATCAAATAGTTTGAATGGAATCATTTTCAAGTTCTGGTTCTAGAGTGTTGGGTGGTCTGCTATGGTGTCTACATGAGCACTGTGGGAATCTTCTACTGATGACAGATTCAAGTACTAGTGGCTTGCAAAGACACAAATGTTAAGAGTTGTTGATTCATGATCTGGAAGTGGGCAAGAAACAGAAGCCAGACTTCCATTCCAGCAGGACTGCTGTGGGTTTGGAATGTAATGCAGTTCTGAGGCCATGCTATTCAGACCCTAGCAGAATTTCCTATATATCCAGCTTTCTGGTAAATGTATTTTTGGCTGCCAGACTTACAGCTGGGACCTGTGACTAGTAGCTTTTTTTGTCCCTGCCTGTTGCACATATAGGGAGGTGCCACACAGTTCACAGCTGCTTTTTGCAGCTCAATCACAGTAGCTGCTCACTGAGGCAGGGATCTACACCACCAAATCCACAATGTATATACAGACTTACACCCATCTGCAGTCATACCCATCATACGAACACCAGCTCCACTGATAGGTAGTAGTCCGTACCCCTTCATCCCTTCATCAAAAGGGTTCTGAACACATACATCCCATGTCTCTGCAGCTGCACTAGTCCAAAGCCACCACACAAATCCTAAAATCTGCCTTCATCTCCAGAAACAGTTAATAGCACAGCATTTCCAGGTGGCTGGCTTGGGAATCTCAAGTTCCCAGCCCTTGACACCTGTATTTAGCAGTAGGATACAGAACAAGGGTTAAGGCATCCCTATGAACAATGTTCTCTGGACACTGTCCAATGCATGCAGAAGGACATCCACTGTCTGTCCATTGCTGCTCCTGGCAAACTGGCTCAGTTCCTTGGCAGAAGAAGCCAAGGGGGTTATAGTGCAGTGAGGCCACTCCAGCTAGAGGGCTGACAGTAGGTGGGGGAAGACAGCAGTAGAAGAAAGAGGATGAAGTCAGGTTGAGCCAGGTGCTGGCAGGACCAAAGTTCCAAGTCCTTACTCATCCAGGAGAAGTCACCCACAAAGGAAATCACTGGTTTCCAGGGTGATGTCTCTCCAAAGCAGGAAACGTGATGATTCACGTTTCATCCCCAGAGCTTTCAGAAATCCATGGCTAAGAGAATGAATTATCTCACTATGAGCCTCTTGATGAGGAAGAGTTTCCAGTGGGAGAAGGCAGGTATGTATATGAAGATGATACATTCATGTACTGATGAATGACACCTAAGTAAAAATTAATTTCTAAATGTAACAGCCTTCAAATACTGTGTTTACTGTGCCCCAAAGAGATATTATTCCAAAACAGGAGACAGTATCTGGGGAGTAGCTGCTCTTATCTCAAGTTTTATTGTCTCTCTGTCTTCAGAAGAAAAGGTTAATGGGAAACTGTGTGTCCTGGTTTCAGCTAGGATTGTTAATTTTCTTCCTAGAAACTGTTACAGTGCTATGTTTTGGCTTTAGTCTGAGAATAATAGGGCAGAACTGTGCACTAAGCCTATGTCCTTGTTCAGTGCAGTGCACTGTGAGTATGCTTTGGCCTGTGTTCTGGTAGTATTTGATATCACAGTGAGAGGGTGTTTGGATCATTTGAGGTGACACACGGTGAGGCAGCTGGTGATGGCAGCAGACGGTTACCTAGTGCGTGAGAGGGAGGATGTTAGAGCACAGTTGGGAGCTGCGATCTGAGACATGTAGGTGATGTGCTGTTTTACCTCTCCTGAGCAAAGCGGTCAATAGAGCCACAAGCCAAACCGAAAGCCAGTTCATTACAGAAAGTTTAATTGGGAAGAACTGAGTAAAGTCATGTGGGTGTCAGTTCAATTCTTGACAAACCGCCTGAGCCAAGACCATTTCAAATAAGGCATGCAGCACATCAGCAGGACTTCCCTGAACTGCCACTTCTTATTCCCATTCTTGGAGATACCAATATTATTTGCTTAGTTCTTGTGTGGGGTTTTCACACCACCCTTCAAGACAGTTGGACCTGGCCACTGGTGGAGTTTGGATTCCGGTTAATTGACTTGCTGGGTGTTTCTGCCCTCTTGTGTTTGACAGGCATGGTGATAGATTTTGGTCTGGTTTACTTTCTTCTGCTGATCTTTCCTCTCAGTGTGGCTTTTGTTTGAGTTGAATTGGCATCAAAATAAATGGATGTGTTTGAGAAGAGTGTTTTTGTTCTGGTGTTTCTTTCACCAGCCAGGGCAAAATTAGCTGGAAGCCCTGCTTTTCTTGGAAAAGGAGTGTGAAAAAGCTGGAAGTAAGTCATTTGGCAAGTGATAATACATAAATAGCTTTTCTGAATACCTATTAAATGCACTGTTGTATTGCTATTATCCAGTAGAGCCAGTAATTGGTTTATTATGATTTTGGACCACTGGTTTGTTTTTAAAATGGATGAGTTGGCTGTCACATTAAAGTGAACTGCACTTTAATGTCGATGCCATGTACAAGTGATACAGCTGTACCAGTAATTCCCAGAGTTCACAAGTTTAATATATTCTGAAAAAAAAAAAAAAGTATTTTCTATATTTCCTTTTCGCGCTTCATGGTGTCTGGAGCTGGATGTATGGAAAGGCTCAGCAGAGCCTTTTCCTTCTTTCATTTATTATTCAACTGTTGAAAAACTCTGTTATTTCCTTCCAAAAAAATATATGGAAGATTTAGAGTTGTGGTTTTAAGATACTATGGGAATGACCTGCCTTAGCCTGCCTTAGTTGTTACTATAGAGGGTGTGCTTAGCTGGAGGTAAAAGGGTGAGGACATTACTTCTACCTGCTAAATCTTCACACAGAAGAGGTCATTCAACATGTAAATCTATCAGTACCTAAGCTGGGTGTATCTCTGCCACCTGCATCTCCAAGTTAGTGAGTTTCTTCGAGAAACAGCTAATTGGGAGCACTAAGGTCCCTGAGACCTCTCTATATAGCTCCCTTACCAGGCTACATCAGGACAGAGCTCTTTTAACCTTCCAAGTGACTAATGCAGAAAAGATGACGATTTGCAGAGGTAGTTACTAAACCAGTACCTCCTCTACACTGAAAAATTATATGTTTCAGGTGGTGTAATGTGACATAACCAGTGGAAAGGGAAAATAGAAAGGTCATTTCTAACTGATTAAAACTGTGTTTCTGTTACCTTTGTGGTGGTGTGCTGAGATAAAGTGAGAACAGCTCAGCTAAATAGGGAGAAAAGTAATTTATCTAATTCATGTTTTCCCCCTAGTTTTGATGGAGAAACTAGAGGGATGTGAGCATTTCAGTGGACTGAGATGTCATTCTCCGGAATTCTCACTGATTTTGATATCTATGATGCTGTGAGAACTGCACATGCAGCTGGATCCAAATGGAGCCAAAGCAAGCTGCTTATTGGAGTGAGAAATGATACATATTCTAACCCTTAAGCCAGTGCTAAAAGGCAGAAGTTAGAAAGCATTGGTATCCAGCTTAATACAAAGAAATGCTTTATTGAGGCTTTATGTCAAATGCCACTGTGATGTCTTTTTTTAATTGTACTTGTTCTAGGCATAGTTATTTAAAGGTGGAAAGTTGAGTGTGACCAGACTTCGTTAACATCGAAAGTTCAAGACGTAGCTTTTGTAAAGCTAGCCGTGTAGTTCGCGTTTTCGTCAGCCCTCCAGCACCCTCTTACGGCAGTTCACAGCCCAGGTTCTGTCCACGATTCGCCTCAAAATCAAGCTTTACAAGGGATGTTCTTTCTGCCCTCTCGTGGCCACAGGTCAGTTCTGCAGCGGCGGGGATTTCAGACCTACATTGCGTTTTGGTAACCGCAAACGTCTTGCTTTTGCTTTAGAGAACACACATAAAATTGTGTATCTCCGGGACAGTTTTTTCCTGTATACAGTGCTTTTATGTACATCTTTCATTTGAGTACAGCAGTTGGCTGTTTGGATTGTCAGATTAGCTACACACAATTTCCTTAGTTTTATGTCCTAACCCAGAATATGAAGATGTGACTTGCATGTTCAAAGAACCAAGTAAGAACCATTTCTTTCCTGTCAGCTAAGGTAATTTTAGTTCGTTGGTCTGTGCCTCACTTTTGGCCTGCTTACATAAAAAACACTGCATAATTGCACGTGACGGCTTCTTCATGCTTTCACTGATTCTTTGGTTTACTTGTAAGTTAAATTGCACTCACTTTCCATGTCATGTCAATCAATCAGTAAATATATTGATTAATTTAGATTTATCCCAGTCTGAGGTCAGGATCAGGCCACACTGCCTGTTTATGTTGTATACTGTTTAATTATCCCTTGTATGAATAATGCTATCAAATACAGGCTTACAGAAGGTTGTATCATTTCAGTTAAGACTGCTGCTTATCACATTTTTCTGACAAGTACACAGAGCCAGAATAGGTAACACATGCATGTACAGTGATGTCTCTAGTGCTTGTCAGCTGGTGAGGATCTGAACAAGAGATTCTGTAGCAGGCGTGTGAGAGCATATAATGCAATAATAATTTAAGAAAGCAATTATACCAAGAATAGATTATTCACAGTCAAGGTAGTACTAATAAAAGAGAATATTTTGCTATTATACATTGATAAATGGAAAAAGAAAGCCATTACTTTATACATTACCTGTTAGCTTTCACCTACATGCCCCTTTCACAGTCAGCCCAAGATACCATCTCCTCATCTCTGTGCTTTCTTGGGTAACTAGGAAAATCCCCACTGCACAGGCACAGCCTGCGCTGCTGTTGTGCTAGTGCCAAACCGTGCACCATCTGCGCTTAGCAGGGAAGGAAGTAAGACCAGAAAGGGTTTATCACTAGTTATACATTTGAGATGAGGGTGGGCTCTGCAATCCTCCAGGCCACCCCAGGGATTCATAAATTCATATGCAGTATAAATGTCTGCAAGAATACATTTTTAAGGAAATGTCTTGAAATATGGAACTTTGGGAAGCGTATGGCAGTGGCTGAGCTGGCACAGGAAGTAGCTTCTGAAGCTGGTCTCCTCTTTTGACTCCCCTGCTCTTTCCACACAGGACTGATACTCCAAGAGCAATTGAGAATCCTTCACACTTCTTTTCAAGATCCCATAAGCCATATGTGATCCTAGTATAACTACACTATCGGTACACTGGTGTACCTTCACTGATATTTAATTTCTTCACAGGTATTTAAATTAAACTTGAAACTTCTCTTTCATAGCTGCCAAAAGAAATCAGCTGATGAATTAGGCACTGTCATTTCATTTTAAATCCCTCTTGAGAGAGAGGCAAACTTGCAGCTCTTAGAATTGATGATGATCTCTAAGGGCAAGTAGGTACTTAGTCAGAAAGGTAACCACACTTAAAGACAGGCTCAGCATCCAACATATGGTTCTATTTTTTCTTTAAGCCTGTCTCTTCAATAGCAGGGTTCAAAGGAAGTTTGTCTCTACTGTGTTAGGAATAAAATTCTCCATATTGGTCATATAGTATAGTTAACTCTAAAGATTTTTATTATCCCAAGATAAAGATGTATTTTGTGTACCCACAGAATTGAGCATCTAAGAGAAGCATCTGATCTTAAAAAGTTCCTCTCTGTTCTAATTCATTCCCTAACCCATTAAATGGTCCAGCTGATCCCTCCTGGGAATGAACAGCACATGGGCTCATCAGACCTTACTGCCTTTGTTCAGCATTGTACTGGGTTTGCATGGCAAGGCTTTAGTCACAGTGAGGCTACAGAGGTGGTTTCTGTGAGAAGCTGCTAGCAGCTTCCTTTACATCTGATAGAGCCAATGTCAGCTGGCTCCAAGGTGGACCCAACTGCTGGCCAAGACCGAGCCCATCAGCAACAGTGCTAGTGCTTCTGGGATAACATAGTTAAGCTTGGGAGGGAAAGAAAACTGCAATTTCAGCCAGAGAGAGGAGTCAAAATATATGAGAGAAAGAACCTTGCAGACACCAAGGTCACTGAAGAAGGAGGTCAAGAGATGCTTCGGGTGCCGGAGCAGACATTCCCCGGCAGCCTGTGGTGCAGCCCATGGTGAAGCCTGTGCCTATCGTTTTCAATATATTGCAAGAGATAAAGTAGCTGGATGTCATACTAAGGACAAAGAACATGGTAATTGATAAGTGAGGTAAAAGTCAATTGTTATGAGCGTCAGAAACAAGATAAAGATATACAGCGCAAAAACTCCAAAACCAGAACAGGTGTGCCAAATATGACAAAGCAGGGGGAAGGAGCTAAGTGGTCAGTGAGTTCCAGAAGATGGAAAGAGTTAAAGCACAGATTTTTCTCATCCATATTTTATGCTACTAAAGATCTGAGTGGCATTAGCTGAAGCCCTTCTACACCTTGTGTCATCAGAAGAGCAGCGCAAGTGTGAATTGGGTATCTATGGGCTTCCATGCATTTGTGCTAGATGTATTTTAGTGGGTGTCACTAATGAAAACATTTCCAATTCCTCATAATGTGTACTCTTCAAGAGGGGGCAATTTTTCAAATGCCTTGTTCAGGGTTTGGAAGTTTCTAGTGGCCTGTGATGCCCAAGGCTAGCCCAGTTGTCATCCTTTGCAGAAAATGCAAAAGGTGGTTAAAAAAGCAGTTGAAGTGAATCTAAGACTGAGAGATTTTGAATGCCGGATGCCCAAGTCTTTGGCTCCTTCTGTGAGTAAAACAACAGTGTCTTTTTACATTCCACTAAATCTGTCCAAATGTTATATTGAAGTCAACAGCATGATGAGCTCTCGGACTTATAAATTAATCAGTGGGTTGTCGGTGTCCTCTCTATAAGCTTAAGTCAGAATCTAAAATAAGCCTGGTGTTGTTTTTGCATGGAGGCTTTAATACCAGACATAAATATTATGTGGATGACAAGGAAGGCTGGGAGCTCCTGAGCCCTTCTAGAATTCCTGCTGGTAAGCCTCGATAGTCTGTCACTTGATTTACACGAGTTCTTTCCTTGCTTTTTCCCAATTCGTGAATAGTATCTGTATATGGATAATAAATAATCTGGTGAGTAACATCTATAGCAGTGTATGTTGCCTGTCGTGCCCCTTCTCCTCCCATTGCACTATGCAGTGATTGTTTTCTTGGCTCACACACTTTCAAGCCAAACAGAAATTTTGCAGAGCATAGCATAATTCCTTCTTTATGTACTTTTCACCTAGCTCTTCCTCTGCTGAGGGAAAATAAATCAACAGCCATCTCCTGTATCTGTGCTGTGGAGCGTGCAATAAGAGGGCAACCTAATTTTACCTGCTGCTGGGCCAGTGTTTGGGCTTCTGCTTTCCTCCCATAGCAGCCATCATTAATGCCAATTGATGTGTACCCTTTTCCTGTTGCTAGGTGATACGTTCCTTGCAAAAGCAGCTTCTATTGCTGCTCAGGGATTCTCACAAATCTTGTTTGCTCTTGGGTTGCATGATGTGCAGTGTGGTTTGCAGAACCAGAACGACACAAAGTTCAGGGCACCTCCTTCTGCTGTTCATTTGACTGTAAATCACTAAAAGATCCCCATTTTTCAAGACTAAAGAAAGAATGACATCCTGTTCTGGTGGCAGGCAATGACAAGATTTCTACTTCATAGGCTGGGTCTTCAACTTTCCCCTCCGCAAATTGTTGACCAGTGTCCTTCAGCATGGACTTGGCTGCAGTACCCAAGTAATGCTACAAACCTGGTCTTTCACCAGCACTTGTTAGGTAGTTTTCTGAGACTGAGAAGCCCGAAGATTGGTTTTGGACTCTTTCTTCCTTTCAAAATGTACAATCTCATTGTTTATGATCTGTTTAGATGGCCCTATCTCTTTGATATTTCATGTTTAAGTGAGTAGAGGGACTAGATATTTTCAAGACTGTGTTCTTACTACTTTGGGTTGAATTCGATTCCCCAGCCACAGGCTGAATAGTGTTGTTTCAAGTAGCCTCATGAAGTTTGTAGAAGAACAGCACCTTAGGCTCTGTCCCAAGTATGAATTTATCTGATAAAAGTGATCAGTTTGATTAGGATTTTTTCCAGGTTCTTCTAAAGATATGTGGAATGTAAAGATATCTGGTTACCAGTTATTCAGCATAAAAGACTAAGACGAGACAGAAGAAACAATAAATTAAACTCTCAGATACCCAAACCCCAAGGAAGAAGAGATAAGAAGACAGTAACAAAGAGCAGAAGTCTTAGATCAGTGATTGATGGGATCTTTAAGGAACCACTCAATGCCTTGAGGAGGTTCAGCCAGAGCTCTGTAACTGGTTATCATGAATCTCATAGGAAACAGCAAACTTACAATGGGATATCTGAGAGGCCTTGCAGAATCGCATAAAATTTATTATGGGATGTTTCAAGAGATGTGGGAAAGTGCTGGATTTATTTTGGGATGTTTAGGGGAGAGCCAAAAACAGTCAAATGCAGGGATCGAGATACATGGGAGAGGAGCAAGTATGGGAAAATGAGGAAGAGAGGGGATAAAAGAGGTCAGCTGCATGTAGTCAAGCTGCCGTCATTTTTTGTCAGGCTATGCCCTGTGCCTGATCATCACAGTATGTCTTGTCTTCTTGGTAAACTTGATAAGTGAATGTTTTCCTGTGTGAATGTGCTCTCTATTCTGCATGCACACGTGTCATGATCTGCTAGCTGATTTCAAGCCAGGTCAGCTGGTGAGAGTGAGTGGTCTGAGTGCCAGCAGCTCGAGATAGAGACCAAGGGTTGAAGAATCCTGCAAGCCTGAGGGCTAGCAACTGGAGAGATGGATTGCGTGGATATCAGCTCTTCAACAGACTGAATATCTAACAGCTGCTGATGAAGGGACCCATTTGTGTGTGTGATTCTAATACGAATTTAAAGCTGGACTAGGTGGTGAGCAGGATGAGAGGTGTAGGAGCCAGCTACCAGGGAGACCATAGGACAGGACAGTGAGCGAACAAGGGTCTGAAAGCCAGCTGCTAAAGAGATAACAGATATGGAAGAGCAACTGGAGGCACCTGTTTGCCTTGTTTGGGTGAGAGATCTGCTAGCAGCTTTCAGTTTTATTAACCTATGAGTGATAAAGGGATCAGCCCATTTGTGTGTTTATGTCAGTCTTGTTGGTATATAATTGGAGACTGTAATGATGCTGCTGTCTTGTTGGTTGGTAATCAGTTGTGACTGTCAAGGTGTGACTGTCAAGTACATACATACACGTTTGTACATGTGGTCTGGTTTTGGGGGGTATGCCTATTTCCACCATTGGCCAGACATGGTGTAAAAGTAATGCAGCATCTGAGGACCAGAAGAAAGAATCCCTGAGGTCCTGTAGTCTACTATATTTGGCTTCCCTGTAACAGGTGCGAATTTAGCTTCTCTTCAAAGCTTACTGAAAACTCAGTTTTGGAGGAAGCCTGAACACATGATATTTCATTTAGAAGAGAATGGTTTTGATAGGAAGTATGAAATAGAAGTTCAGGCTTAAATGGAGTAGTCCCTTCTGCATGTGTACGTGTCATTCACAATAACAGAGGAAGTGGGACACCCACAGGGCAGATCTTGTAGACCATTAGGAAGGGCATTATCTCAGATATAAAGCCCAAGATCATTACATTACAACGCATGTGACTTTAGTTAGATGTTATTCCTCAGTGGGGTCCAAGATAGTAGGTTTTATTTGTGACAAATTCTTGACAAGTTACCTTTCAGATTTATGTATAACATGACTCATAAACAACAGGAAAAGTGCTCTCTCTACATTTTACTTGTTTTTCTTTAGCTGCATATGACACAAAGAGTACCAGTGGTTTTGATCCTGCTCCTGTTTGTTATT